TCTTGCTCAAACAAATCCCTAGCCAGGGTCATTCGGGTTGAGAGAGAAAGAGTTCTCCGGGAGAATCTGATTAAAGCGAGACTCGAGTAGAAACCGTATGGGTCTGACAGCACCATGCTCGATATATGGTCTCTGGGATATTAGATGGATGAGGGACTATAGGAACATGGTAACTGAGGATAGATAGGTCCAAATGGATTGGATTCCACTATATCGTCTGGGGACTACGGTGTAGTGGCCTAGTACGTCCGTAGTTGATGAGTCAAGTGAATTATTACAAAGATAATAATTCATTGAGTTAGAAGGAGTTATGACATGTATGACTCACGGCCAGCTCGATATTGGGCATAGAGGGTCACACACATATGGTAGGCATTGCGATGAGTAGAGGTTCGGATATGAGATATCCGACGGAGCCATTGTCTTATTGGATATCCAATAAGCCCCTGAATTATTGGATCCCATGGACGAGATCCAATAAGAGCCCATGAGAGATTATTGGATAGAGATCCACTAATCTAAAAGACTTGGGTTATTGGATGCAGATCCAATACCCACTAAGCGAGGATCCATTAGGGTTTGATAGGGGACCTCTATAAATAGGAGAGATTCAGAGCCTCAAATGCTAGAGCCTTTGCTTGCCTCTCCTATTCTCCTTCCCCTCTCCATCTCAAAACAGGCCTGGAGTTTTGAGGAGCGTCATCGCAGTCATGCTGTGTGGATCACCGCTAGAGAGGAGGACGCTTGACATCCTTCACCCTCTCCTAAGGATCTACAAGGAAACAAGGATATATGATCTCCCTAGGTAACACAATCTACTCCATATGCAGTTTTTCAGTTTCGCGGATTTTGCGCACCAATCTTCGCACGACGACGAACATCTCTTTGGGAATCAGGGATTTTGTTTTCTTGTTCTTCCGCTGCGCATGTGATGTCGCCCCCAAAGATTTTCCCAACAGGATCCCCCCATCTCCTGGGGGAGGGGGGGGAGGGCCTGACTTTCGGGTTTGATGGATGGGAGGCCGGTCGATGGTTCTCCCTCGTGGAGAGTTCCTGCCAGATGCTCCTGCGACATGACCCTCCTTATAGTACCAAAATGATATCGAACAAGTATACCGTGGCTGATGAGTTAGCACGACTTGGTCCACGGGTCAATGTCGGGAGTCTTCTATCGACTGAGCTAGATGTCGAGGTCGATCGGGCCCTCATGATGGGGTGTTGATCAGCGTTCCTTAATGTGCCGATCTGGGCACTGTGTATGCCGAGCTGCGTCTCTCCGTCTCCAGGGTGGTTGTCAGCTTGTCTTCGTGAGGTGGTCGTGCCCTCAGGAAGGAGTGCTGGTTGGTGTTGATCGGGATCTGGCCCGATTGACTGCTCTCCTTTGTATTCTGGATGGCGATTCCCGGGTTGAGATGCTCACGGGTCGTGGGCGGTTGCTTTCCTGCAAAAATGGCCCTCGTCGAGTGATTCCCGACGAGGCCTCTCAGACGAGCAAGTCAGTGGAGTGTTCAATTGATTTTTACCTCTCTCTCTTTTTCGCCTTTGCTAGATGCCGGTCAGAGATGTTTATACTATTGTACATGGGTCGATCATACGTAGGTTGACATGATGAATATATCAAATAATATTTTAATATAAATTCTGACTTAACGTATCTTAGGGGCGGCTCCGTGTCAGAAATTTCGGAGACGTGACATGCCAAGTAGCACTGTAGTATGGATTCTTAAATATATCGAATCAGCCATTATTGTTGCTCACGTCCGTGGGTGATGCAATCAGTTGATGGGCGCCATCAAATTATCCTCTAAAATTAATTAATACGGGTGCATTAATTCACGACAATCCATCCGACAGATGGGAAGTGAGTCGAGTTCCGGGGATTGACTGGCTTCCGCATCATGAATAATCACAGGGGTCCGCCGCCGAGGATGGGACAACGGTTGGCCTGGAGCAAAAGGACAACAGTAACTTTGGACGCTACACATCTGACTTTGTTCTCCATGAAACATCGGTCCCAAACGGCTGCTGTCGTGTCACCGTTATAGCGATTTGTCGCTCCAGTTATTCCTCCCGTGAGTATGCCCACGATTTAAATCAAAATTATACTAGAATTAAAATCGAAATCAAATCAATCCAGAACCCGCAAATTGCTCAGGGGCGATTCTTAAGTTTGAAAAGTCTAAATCGACGATTCCGATTTCAAATCGATTAAATAAAAAAAATTACGTATAAAACTTATGGTATGATACTTAAATTTTTAACTTTAAAACTAAGTAAACAAAGTTTGAATAATCAAAAAATTGTATACTCTAGATTTAGGTTCTAGAACCAGAACCCCCGATTTCGATTTCGATTTCGGTTTGATTCGAACAATTAATTTTATTATTATTATTATTATTATTATTATTATTATTATTTAAAAAAAAATAAATTTACTTTTTGAAGTTTGAAAAATAGATGTATAAACCAACCTCACAACTTAGCCCCCATAGACTATACTGAAGAGAGTATCTCTCGATAAATGAATGCCCACCACCTAATTCAAAATTATTATTATCAAAAGGCGGTTATGATTCTTTCCTCCTCAAACGAAGGCTCATTTTTCTGATTTTTTTTTTTTGACCTTTTCACTTAAGCCCCCTAGAGACTCGTGTACCGTATGGATCACACGCCGCCCACTTAATTGAGAGAAGAGAAGAACCCCATGGTCTTCTAAGGAATAAGAACATTTTATTACCTCCAGAGATCACGAAGGAATATACTTTTGTGTTTTTCATATATCAATAAAAATTGAGTTCTTCTGTCGGCGCCCACAACAGAAACCCGCACCATAGTCAGTCAACACAAACTACAAAATGATGAATCATCCTAGTGTGTGTTATGCATGTGCATCTTTTATGGGTATCAAAATTCATGAAGAACTTAGTTATTATGTCTCATCACGATCCACATGAAAGCGACAGTGATTCCGTCACATAGACGTCAACCAGAGTGGCGGTCATGTGGGGTGCGGTTGCTTTTTTGTTTTTGTCGGTCTGTTGAGATTTTTGAATTGGGCTTGAGTCCAAGCCACCAATTTGAATGGGCTTGAGACGAGGATTGCCCAAAAAATAACAAAAAAACCTGAAACAATCCCAATCCAATCCCCTAATTTGAATGGACTTTACTCCCCCCCCAACCCCCGCGGGTGGGCAGGTAGGCTCATCCCTTCCTGTACCGAGTTCTGATCAGGACGATCCAGTCGTATACAAAGGTCCAAGTCCGCACAGGCTGCTCCCATCTCCACCCAGTTAGTTCCCTTCGCCCACCGAGTCTACTCGTTCCTCCCGTAATGCTTCCCGGCAAACGCTCTCGCCATTTTATTCCAAAATGGTAAGGAATCATACTATATCTCTCGGCAATCTCCTTTTCCTCCTGTCGACGCCGGACTTCGAGGTCCATCGAAACCACTCGCTTCCTTTCCTTTTCTTGAGTATCTTTCCTCAGGTATTTAGTTTCTTTAGCGTCTGGTGCCGATTCGTTGTAGGGCTTGTTCCTAGGGTTTGTTACAATTAGGTTTCTGAGGAAGACGTGATGGCCTTCGATTTC